AAAAAAAAAAAAAAAAAAAACTTCCTACCGTGCGACTAAAATCATGTTCGTTTGCATGTCAACTTCCTACGGACTCAAAATTTTCTTAGTTTTTAGTCACTAGCTTTCGGACAATCTGCGACTAAAATCATGTTTGTTTGCGTGTCGACTTGCAAGTGACTCAAATTTTCTTAGTTTTTAGTCACTAGTTTTCGTGCAGTGTGCGACTAAATTCATGTTCGTTTGCATGTCGTCTTGCAATGACTCAAATTTTCTTAGTTTTTAGTCACTAGTTTACGCGCAATCTACGACTAAAATCATGTTCGCTTACGTGTCGTTCGACTTGCTACGACTCAATTCTTTGTTGATTTTTTAGTAGCTAGTTTTCGGCGACCTGAATTGCAACCTGCGACTAGTTGCACGACATCAAAACGAACATAACATGCGACTTGCGACCAATCACAAGTCGCACAATACATAAACGAACAGAGCCAAAGTCTACGATTAAAAGAAAAAATGATCCCACGACAGCCAAATGAACAACCTTTGGTTGTAGGTTGCTGCGACCTCGAAACGAACATGGCCTTTATACGTTATCTTACTCTAATCTTTATATGTTGGCTTACCTTAACCTTGTAGTTACTGTTGTGCGTTACCTTATTAATAAACTTGCCTTTATAGAACATTGAGCATCTTTCTCCGGCCCTTACTCTTTTGTTCCTTGTTCGTTCAGCCCAGGAGCTTGAGAAGGATCTACAGAGCCTAACAGCAGAATCGCTCCCTGCAGAGAAAAAGCTAACCATGTTTGATAAATTATTCACTGCATATAATGACGCGAGGAACATCATACGCAGTGACTTGGTGAGTCATTTTACAAGAGATCCTCTTATTTTTATTTCTCGAAGTATTCACTCAGTTCTTTCCAACTAAGAAAACTTGTCATAAACTTGGTTTGCACTCTTATGTTTTATTTTTTGGCCTCTTATGTTAAAACCTCAGGTGGAGAAATACCTGGTAGATAAACTAGATGTGTATGAATCAGCAGTTGGAGATGCAAACACAAAAACGGCTCCAAAGATTGAAAGGTTCCCACCTGCTAGACTTGGCTTACAATTGCATAGAGTTCCCGGTTCTTGAAGAGAGGATGAAGAAAGGCAGGGGAGGTTTCATGAGCCGGTTTTTCAGATCAGGTTAAAAAAGAATCTCCTAACTAATTCAGTGTCCTTTTGTTTTCAACCACACTCTGAAACTACTTTGTCACTGTTCTCTAGCTTCTGAAAAAACAAGCCAAATGCATAAGATTGTTAGTTAATTTCAGAGAATCACAGTTTATTAGACTGAGGATTATTACATTTTGCTTTTCCTTGACACTTGGAAATTTTGGATATATGTAGACATTTTATTGTTTTCTCTGTTTGCTGTATTAATGAAAAGGTCACTGGATGCATTGGAGAAATGTAGAAAGCCTGTTAAATCGGTGTATGTTTAACAAAAATAGGCTTTGAGATTTGAGTGTATGTTTCTTAATTTTTTTTGTTTAATATTAAGTGTCATGTTAAATTTTATCTTTTTGTATCAAAAAAGTGTCCTTCAATTTTATACATTAAATTCATCTTTTACCTTTTTAAATAACAAATAGATTTTTATTTAAATTATTATTAATCATGCATTAAATAATGATATATTAATCTAGTGTAAATGTCAAAGTGATACTTATATTAAAACAGAAATAGTGCTAATCAATTAATTAATTAAATTGGATAATTGTTGTATAATTTAAGTTTATAAGATTGACTAGGATCGGTTAAATATGGATCAGATTTTTAGTTTCTCACACGTTTAGAAAGCCCCTATCAGGAAGGAAGTCAACTACTTTGGGACCATTTATGTCTCTTGCCTAATTTAATCATCATAATCACCCCTGCCAACAACAATTCAATTTTATTGGCTATTGCAAATCACTAGTCTTTTAAAGTGTATCATCACATATTAATTGTTGGATCATAATTCATAAATCATAATCACATTTATTTTTAAATAGATTTCTGTTGAATAAAACAAATAGTAATAATTATTTATTGATATAGTTTTATATAAATGACAGCCATGGAAGGGTTTCAGATGTTTTGTTTGTACACGATCACCACAACATCCAAAAGAGTATTTTGTGTTATTATTATTTTTTTTTGTCCATCGCACGATCTTTCCCTTGTTTTCCGCCCATATTCCCCACTTCTCAATCCCAAAAAAAGCCTTTTCGATTTTCCAAAAAAGACAAAACACTTTTTCTTTTGGTTTTTTTGTGTGTGGGAAAAAAAAAAACACCGTTATTAGCTCTGTCCGCGTGGAGGAAGACGACGACGAAGAAGAAGAAGAAGAAAGACGGAGGTGGATCGTGTGAAACAAAATGCAGTTCGCTAAGCTCGATGATTCGCCTATGTTTCGTCAACAGGTACTTTTTATTTTATTTTTAAATTTCTGTAAAATCCGTTTCGATCGTCTATGCATCGATTACATTGCTCAATTAGACAGATAGTTAGGGAAAAAAATCTCTGTAATCTCTCGTCCTATTCTATGATCAAACAATTTTTTAAAAATTGAATACATTGTGGAAACATGGATGAAAGCAATGTATCAGGAAGTTGTAAAATTAGAGTGTAACATCCCGAGTTGTGATAAATGGAAAGAATTTAAGAAGATTGATTTGGCTACCTATATCACCAAAGTGCACTTACTTTTTCGGGAGCACATCCAGATAGAACTCCAGAGTTAAGCCTGCTTGAGCTGGAGTAGTCAAAGGATGGGTGAACTATCGGAAAGTGATTTGCGATACCGTGTAAGTGAGGCCAAAGCACAGGGAAAGGTCATGTGGTGATTGTAGGGTCAGTAAACATGACTCTATACCGACCGTTGGAACGGAATGGGGCCCACGGGCCAAGAGAACGGGTGTGGATGGCCCATTAGCCGTGGGTGGTCGGGGCCTTACTTACGGTTTGATCCAATGTTCAAAAAATCGCTAAGCAGTAATTTGGCATTTTATAAGGGATTAGTGTTTAAGCGCCTAGACTGATTAGAAGAATTGTTTCGATTTTTAGAATAATGATTTTATCTTATTTATCTTCACTTGAGAGTGTTTTCATCCTTTTGTTGTGTGGATTGACTTGTAAATTGTAAGTCCTCTGTGTTTGAATCTTCAACTTAAAAGTTTAGTGGTGTCTTTGTTGTGTGATCAGATGCAATCTATGGAAGAGAGTGCAGATTTGCTGCGAATGCGATGCTTAAGATTCTACAAAGGCTGCAGAAAATACACGTACGCCTCTTAATTACAATCACTCAGAAGAAAATATTATGGATTCTGATATTTCTTTGATGCTTATTATTATTAGGGAGGGGCTTGGAGAAGGGTATGATGCAGATATTGGATTTGCAAATGCGCTTGAGTCTTTCGGTGGAGGCCATAATGATCCTCTGTGTGTTGCTTTTGGAGGTAACCTCTCTCTTGTTTCTCTTTGGCTCTTTCGTGCACACTAATCTCAAGGCAATGTTTTGTTTTTTCTCAGGTCCTGTAATGACGAAATTCACTATTGCTCTACGAGAAATTGGGACATACAAAGAAGTTCTTCGTTCTCAGGTACTAACTAAGCTCCAATGCACTCTTTAGAAGGGGATGATTGGCTGCAAGTATCTCTGTACTTGGTTGAACTTGTCTCTTTTCTTGTTGGGAATCACTGAATGTATAGAGACACGTTTATTTTTGTTCGTCCTTAGATGTTACTGAAGAGATGCATAACTGTCGCATGATGTCTTGACAACACTTTTTCAGGTAGAACATATGCTGAATGACCGGTTGCTTCAGTTTGTGAATGTTGATGTCCAAGAAGTTAAGGTATATTTGTACTCTGATGATCCTTTCAGATTCTTGCAATTTTATGTTCTGACTTGTATCCATCTTTAATTGTCTCACACACAGGAAGCACGTAAACGGTTTGATAAAGCTTCCGTTATATACGACCAGGTGCGTTACATAACTTGGTTGTTAATTACCACAAACATTCTCCCTGTTTGAAAAACTACATCTTCATATAATGTGCATTCGAATGGAACAGGCACGAGAGAAGTATCTTTCATTAAGAAAGAGTACGCGATTGGATGTGGCTGCAACAATTGAGGAGGTAATGTACAAATCTTATTACTTACTATTCACAAATCAACCTTCACTTAAAACTAATTTTGGTAGAGAGGCATTTCAGGACCTGCATAACGCAAGAACCACGTTCGAGCAAGCCCGGTTTCATCTGGTAACAACATTTTTATTCTAATTGCTAAGAGAGTTTCCAAGGTACTCTCTTAATGGTAAACTTACATGATGTTTGCTTTACTTCTTCCTGGCCAGGTTAGTGCACTCTCTAATGCGGAAGCTAAGAAGCGATTTGAGTTTTTGGAAGCAGTTAGTGGGACAATGGATGCTCATCTCCGCTTCTTCAAACAGGCAAGATGTTTCTTACCTGGAACCAATGAGTTTGGTTTTGCAAGGAAACCTATTATACAATGCTCTTTTCCTGTTTCCTGACATGAACTACTTGATTCTCTGTTTCTCACAAGTGACTTTTTCTTTCAGGGATATGAGCTCTTGCATCAGATGGAGCCTTTCATTAATCAGGTCTGATAATATAATACTCCTTGTAGCATGATTCTTTTGTCTTTTAAAATCTCTCAGATTTGTGAAAATAAACCGCTAATTTGTAAAAAAAAAAATTATAGAAACTCTTACTAAATTGTTTATAGCCCTGAAAATCTCAGGACCGCCCCTGTTTTTCTTAGATGTGTGTTTAATTGAAATCTTAATGCAGGTGTTGGCTTATGCACACCAGTCTAAAGAATGTGCAAACTACGAAATGGCGTCACTTAATGAAAAGATGCAAGAATACCAAAGGCAAGTTGATAGAGAAACTAGAAACTCATGTGGTTCTCCAACAGGTGATGGCATGAGACACAACTCAAGAAACTCACAAAAAGTCATAGAAGCTGTCATGCAATCTGCTGCAAAAGGAAAAGTAAGGGAGTGAATACCTTTTCTACTAAGGCTTACTCACACCTCATATCCTTTTATACTGTTCTACAGGTTCAGACTATAAGACAAGGGTATCTGTCCAAACGCTCCTCAAACTTGAGAGGTGACTGGAAAAGAAGGTTTTTTATCCTTGACAGCCGTGGGATGCTATACTATTACCGCAAGCCATGGAATTGGTCTTCAGTAAGTTGTAGATATTATAACATTTGTATGTGTTGGTTCTGTAATGAATCTTTGAAACTTTATGTTATCAGGGAAATGGGAGCAGGTCTGTTATTCACAGGAATACGACTTCAGAAAGCAGTCCAGGGCTGCTAAGTCGATGGCTGTCTTCTCATTATCACGGTGGTGTGCACGATGAAAAACCAGTTGCACGTCACACTGTGAATCTGCTGACCTCAACCATTAAAGTTGATGCAGATCAGACTGATCTAAGATTCTGCTTCCGAATTATTTCTCCAACAAAAGTTTATACATTGCAGGTATATTACAGAGAACATGACTTTGAAAGTACAAAGATCTACTTCTTTACCTATGGAAGCTTACCATTGTTATTGATATAGGCAGAGAATGCACAAGATCAGATGGACTGGATCGAGAAAATAACTGGAGTAATCGCTTCTTTACTTAGTTTCCAGACACCTGAAAGAGCAATCATGGTAACATTTCATATGCTACTACTGCTGCTTCTTTCTTGTGTGACACGTTGTCTGTTTTCACTTATAATATCATTATTACAGCATCTTTCTACGGTGGATGGAGACACTTTCTCTGCAAGTGATTCAGGTTCTTTAGCAGATCCATATGACTTCGAGCAAGCAGAAGGTAGAGATTCCATAGTGGAGAATCCCATGACAGGAGGGAACCGTTCGAGGTTCTCAGGGTGCTTGCAGCAATATGATATGACAAAGACTGAGAAGCCAATTGATGTCTTGACAAGAGTATTGGGGAATGAGAAATGTGCAGATTGTGGTGCTCCTGAACCTGATTGGGCCTCTTTGAATCTTGGAGTACTCATATGTATTGAGTGTTCTGGTATACATCGTAACCTTGGTGTTCACATTTCAAAGGTAAACCATTCAAAACTTTCATTAAAATTCTTCAGTCTCTTAGTCTTCTCCAATGTTCAAGAAATAGCTAGGAGGTAACTAAGATTAACTACTAGACAGATTATTTGGGTCCTAGGCGTTAACAAATTATTGATTTATTTTTAAAATATTTTATATTTACATTAGACATTTTAGTTTTTGGGTTTAGTTATAAAATTATTTTTGATGAATTATAAAGATTACATATACAAAAAAAATATAAACTAGACAAATATTTCAATTTGGAATAATATAATTGTTTAGTTTAACCGATTTAAATCGATTTAGACCAATTTTAACCAATTTAAATCGATTTAGACCAATTTTAACCGATTTAAATCGATTTAGACCAATTTTAACCGATTTAAAACGGTGTAAATCGATTTGTGTTGCATAAATCTATTTTAAGAAAATACCTAATTTTAGAATATTGGTATCTCACAAGAAGGTAGTCTTGGAGTTTCCCATTTTAAAATAGCTCATATAAATTTGATATGAAGTATTCAACCTTGTCATGCAGGTCAGATCGCTCACACTTGATGTCAAAGTATGGGAACCATCGGTGTTGACGTTGTTCCAGTCGTTAGGTAACGTGTATGTAAACTCAGTGTGGGAGGAGTTGTTGAACTCAGAGAGTAGAACTTCTAGTGCTAGTAGGTCTTCAAGGTAAGTGACTACCTATTCTAATCAGTTTTATTTGTGCTAAGAACCAACTACATCTTACACATCTAATTACACTGTATTCAAACCTTTTTTCTATTTGCTAGCACTCCCAAGGCAGATCGACCAAGAAAGTTTCTTGCAAGGAAACCTGGTTGCAATGATCCCATCTCTGTGAAAGAGTTGTTCATCCACGCAAAGGTATTAAAAAGCAGAGTTGTAAATAAATCTCATGTCTGTCCATTGCTAATATTCAATGGCTAATTACAGTACTCAGAGAGGATATTTGTCAGAAAAGCAACAGACAGTCAGCATTTCCAAGCAGTATTCCAAGAGATTTGGGAGAATGTCCGAGCCAACGACAAGAAATCAGTTTACAAACACATCGTCTGCTCCGAAGCAGATGTGAATGCGCTACGTGGACAAGCCTCCTACACAGTCTCTTTACCCTTAGCGAAGATGATGCAACTGGAAGCGAAGGAGGAAACTCTCGAAGCCAAGTTCAAGAGCATTGAAAAAGAGTTTCAAGAGAAACAAGAAGGTTGTTCCAAGTCAAGAAGAGGAGACGGTGAAAGTATGGTCAGAGAAGAGACTTCAAACGACTGCTCTTTGCTTCACCTTGCTTGTCTCTCTGCGGATATTGGTATGGTTGAGTTGTTGCTTCAGTACGGTGCGAAAGTTAATGCAACAGACTCAAAAGGTCGGACTCCACTTCATCATTGTATAATCAGTAGGAGATATGCAATTGCAAGGTTGCTTCTAATGAGGTAAATTAAAACTCTGTCTTGAGATTTCATTACTACTAGAAAAGCATTATAAGTGTGGTGCTAATGATTCAATCACAGGGGAGGAGATCCAAATGCTGTGGATAAAGACAGTAACACACCGGTTAAATATGCTTCAGAGACAGACCTCAATGATAGTGAACTAATTGCTTTATTAACAGACTCCAAAAGATGATTCATAAGTTCATAACCATTTGAAAGCAAAATGGTATAGCACTAGAAAAGTGTTGCTCTATTGAACTCTTTGCGCCTTTTAGTTCGTTTCATAACTCATATTTTTTGTTCATGAAGAGCGTAGAGAATGCATGTAAAGATTTTGTTTTGGTGCTTGCTAGGTTGATATACTGTACATATTTGGTTTTCTCAAATCTGTTTTTTGTTGTCGGTGTAATGAAATGACAAAGACACCATTATGTGTGTTCTTCTGTTCAGCTTAATGTTTTCTTCAGACAGGACTTTGTGATTTATGGTTTTTGAGAAAAAATACTTTTATGACGCTATTATAATTCATCGGGAGACATTGAATTAAATAATAGTGTGTAGGTCTCGAGATGGTGATTTATATGGGGAGGTTATGGGAGAGATATGATGAAGATATCCACTAGAGTGGAAAGTTCAAATGGTGCATGAATGTTTACCCAAATACATAGTGTGTGAAATGCATGGTTTGACCAAAGTTTCTTTCCTGTTTTGTTTTTACATGAGTACCCAAACAAAAATCTAGAAAAGTCAACGAGTAATGGGTAAACATAAACTAATAATAACTCATTTGTTTTATAGTTATAGAACGTGTTCTAGATAATTACACAATATGTGTGTGTAGTTTATATGACGATTTGTTTGTATACACACGTTACGTGATGTGTAAGAAGAATAAAAAGATTCATGAAAAATATGTATAATTTTTAAAAATCACTCTTTCAAGTTTAATGAACTATGGTTGACAAGTTTAGATGTTACTAGAGTTTATGACTTCGTGTGTTTTCAACAGTGTTCTAAAAATTGGCCGCCTAGGTGATAGCCGACCTTCTTCCACCTTGCTAAATCACTGTGAAAATTGATCGTCAGATTTTAGTCTGTCTAAACCGCCTAAATGACCGTTTAACTATCTATACAGCCACCTAATCTATTTTTTTTTAAATAGTACTTTTATCTATTTATTTGATCTAAAATTTAATAAATATAACTTATAATTATAATTTTGATGAAAATTATATCATATTAATTTTATATATTCTATTTGTGAGTTTTATAAGATTCTAATACACAATTAAAGATTAACATATTTCATAACATATCAAATAATCTAAAAATTTTGACCCGTATAATCTCTGCTTAATCTCCGATTTCTCTTTAGGCGCTAGGCTCAGCTGTGTTGTTTGACTAGTGTCTAGCGCGTTTACGAACATGATTTTTCAATATTATTCTTAATCATGAATGCACTATTTCACTCAAACTTGGAGCAGATAACACGTTAAACAACCTCTTTCATCATTCAAACAACTAACTATGATTGGGTAGACTTTGTGTTGATTAGGTAAAATTAGTGTTTATTAACCGTGGATAAAGCGTTACGCTCTCGATGAATCTTGCGTTCTAAATCTTTAAATATATGATAACGTCGACAAGTAATCACAGTCGTTGTATGGTCTAGTTTGGATGCGAATTCAAGTTCAATGTTCAAATTACCAAATACCAGTTTGAAATAAAACATAATGGCCAGAGTAGGTAATTCATATTACATAATACTACTAAATTATTGCTTTTTACTGTTGACACACGTTTCAAAGTTGATTATACGCACAAGAAAATAAATTGAATGATTGTGTTGGAAGCAAGGAAGCAGTGACTAAAGAAAACAGATTAATCAAGCACCTTAGCTAGAGTCAGCGTCATTAGATACAATTAATTTATTTTTAATGCCCCATCTACTAAAGTTGGCTTGATAAACTAGTGCATTCCATTTTAATAACCATTGAGTTGGTTGATAATATAAAATACAATAATTGGTGTTCTTTTGCGGTCAAAGAAAACGATTAAAGTGATTATCTTCTTAAAGTGATGTTTAGACATAAATAGAATTAACTTCATTGAGAAAGATAAATTTTCCAAATTCAATCAACAACATTTATATTAAGCAAAAGAGATTAATTACCTTGTCTAACCAAAAGAAATACTAAGTAATAAACTTTTATAATTACAGGCTCTTTTTCATTCAAAAGTTACATCGCGTAATTTACATTTGTAAGCAGGAGTTTTATGATTATAAAAAACACCATAAGATCACACAATTTACATAATTTTCTTAAGAAACTGAACTCAAGTTTCTAGCAACTATTTCTGTAGCATAAGCCGACAACATTAAGGAAAAATGTGTGGTATTTTTTACATAATTATGAGGCTCATCTATAAAAAATCTGGTAAATTAAAGATTGAATTACAGATAATAGAAACATCTAATATCCAGCAAATTGCTAATTTATTTGGAAAGCAGGCAAACTTTCAATAATAATAAAATAAACTAGTCGTTGTCTTGGACACACAAAAACGGTCCAAAATGTTCAGCACGAAGGTTTTAATGATGTCTTGACACATGGCATATGCATGATAAATTTTATAAAAATGTTGATTGCTTATACTTATAGATGATCAAGTATGTTATCTCTAATTGACTTGTTAGGTGGAGTTATCTACTATGGTGGAGCCTTTTGATTAATTAAATATTTGAAGATAATGTTTTAATTAATCCCATGTTATTAAGTCAAATTGACGTACATACATGGGCGGTTATCATTATGTGTATGTACTAATGAGTTTTGTTTGTCTTTATACAGAAATCTTATGTATTAAAATATAAGTCATGAATTCTTTTATATGTGATATTTCATTTTAGACCATTTAAAAAAAAGTTTATTAGATTTTACATAACTTATTAATAATATCTTTTCATATTTTTAATTTTTATTTGAAATATAAATAAATATTCAAAAAAATCTAACAAAATCTTTTTAAAATATTTTAGGATCTTTTCAAAGTATATTTTTGAAAATTATTTAATTAAAGTTTAACTATCATCAAATCTAATTAAAATTAAAATTTAATTTATTTTTGAATTATAAACAAAAATTAAAAGTTTCTTCTCTATTGTGTAGGTATAAATTAATTAAATTTTCACATATATTAAATTTCTACCTACACAATGATTTATATCCCAAAAATTTTCTTCTCTATTGTGTAGGTATAAATTAATTAAATTTTCACATATATTTCCAAATCAGAAATAAAATAAAAATCATGTAATTTAATATTGTTGTATAATATTTTTAAAAATAAATTTTGTAATAATAATATTATAAGTCACACTAACATTATTATAACGTTAGATAATATATAAAAAATATATTAATAAATTTATTATATAACATTTTAGTATTAAAAAAACCCGCACGATAGTGCGGGTCAAGATCTAATTTCTTAGTCAAAAGAAAAAAAAAGTGACTTTTGTTATTGTATTCCGAAAATCTTCATTACAGTATCTACTCTATTAAAATAGAGTCATTCTTTTTATCTACTGATACAAATTGTCATTTAAATTAGGACCCTTTCTAGAATGTTACAAATAATATAAGTCACATAATTGATTGAACCGTATTACTTAAATTAAACCAACACAATTAATGTAAAGAGACGACCTTAATGTAAAGTACCTTCAAAATACGGCAGGTATCTATGTATATACCGAAAACACATATTTTCTCCTACAAATATGGAATGTTCTAAAAGAATATATATCATCAAAATATGGAATATGGAAATCTACTAATTATACTTAAATTAAATCAGTGGTTATTTATGGAATATAGTCTTGGGCTTACTTTTATTTTTTGAACAAATTATATAGTTTGGTTTTTGGGCTTAGTATTAAGAAAAAAACTCCAAAAACATTGAATAAACTTTTCACCTTAAAAGATCAAAAAATCAATTATTATTTTCAGACCCAAAAGGTATTTAATATTTTTAACAAAACAAAATTATCTATTATTAATCATTTATTTAAATCGTGTACTTAAAACATGTTAATATATTTTTTATTTTAAATAACAATCACTTTGTTTTGATAAATTTCAATGGTAACTTTTAAATAATTTCTTATTTTATTTTTCTTAAATAATTTACTGATTAAAAAATGTAAAGCAAAACCAAAAACCAAATCTAAAAACTAAAATCCAAAACCAAAAGGTGAAAACACATGTTATATTTTTTTGCTTAGCAGTTTCTATTCTTTTAGGTGGCCTTTTTTTTATTTACAAAATAAACTATTTCAAATTTTTCAAAAAAAATTTGTTATCATCTTTTCAGTTTTAAATTAGATGTTCGATTATTTGAGATTTGTTTGTTGGTAATATTAGTTCAAACTAACTCAGCGGGTTTAAAAATTTAAAAACTCAAACCAAAAACTGAAAATGAAAAGTAGAAACTTAAAAACTAAAAACCAAAAACCAAAAACCAAAAACCAAAAACCAAAAATAAAAACTGAAACTAAAAACTAATGAAAAACAATCATCACCACAAATTTTGGTGAACTGATTTTATATCAAAATATTCTTTAAATTAAGACAAAACCCAATTATATAAATTTTTAATCATAAAAAATTTCCGCGCTTGAAAAACCCAAATCAAAAACTGAAAATGAAAAGTAGAAACTTAAAAACTAAAAACTAAAAACCAAAAACCAAAAACCAAAATCAAAAAATAAAAACTGAAACTAAAAACTAATGGAAAACAATCATCACCACAAATTTTGATGAACTGATTTTATATCAAAATATTCTTTAAATTAAGACAAAACCCAATTATATAATTTTTTAATCATAAAAAATTTCTGCGCTTGAAAAGCGCGGGTCAAAATCTAGTTGTTGTTATATTATGGATTCAACTGCATAAGTATATATTTATCTGTTAGACAAGCGTGCGGTAATTTATAAAAATATGAAATATATTTTACAAAAGATCACACTTTGCTTTAAAAACGGGTTACCAATAAACCACCACAGTCATTTTTTTCGTGGATTGCCCCCATAACACTGTTTTTCTTATTAGACATAATATAATTTGTTTTTCCAAAAAACAATTAAACTAATTGCAATTTGCTGTGACGATAATATATAGATGTGA